GTTTTACAAGCAATCAAGGAGTGAATCCTCCTCCAAATATGGTACTGTTTGGAGGAAGAGGGAGAAATATCTCTGAGACAGGCATATAGCTAAAGCTCAGATCCCCACTTACAACACACGTACATTTGAAACAACCAAGAACACAAAAGTGTTTGCTTTTGATGTGAAGAACAGGTATTAAAAACAAAAAATAAACTAAAAATGCAAAAGTATTCCTAAATAGTTATCATTTTTAATAAGAAATATAGAATAAATAGGAATAATAGACATTCATTTATAGCCAACTGAATAAAAGGTGACTTGTTCTTTTATCTGTTTTGGGATATTTGCAGTGTGCGAAGACGTGTTGCTGTGATTGATTTAATAAAAAGCTGAATGGCCAATAGCTAGGCAGGATAGATAGGTGGGACTCTGAGCAGACAGAGGAACTCAGAGTAAGAATCAGAGAGGCGTGGAATTTGCCATCAAGATGTAGAGGGAGCTGCACATACAGTATGGAGGAGAGGCAATGAGCCACAGGGCAGAATATAGATTAATATAAACAGGTTAATCCAACTTATAAGAACTAGTTGGGAACAAGCCTAAGATAAGACCACGTTTTCATAATTAATTAATCTCCGTGTCATTATTTGGGGGCTGGCAGTCCAAAGAAAGTCCAACAAGAAAGCTTGATACACCCATCCCTCCCCAGGCCCTGCAACTGGCATGTGTGGGTGCTGTACATACATGTGGGTGTGGGTTGGAGGCCAGAGGTCCACATCAAGGGTCTTCCATAATGACTCTCCACCTTATTTCTGAAACAAGGTCTTCACTGGACACAGAGCCTGCTAATTTGGCTATGGACCAATAAGCTCAAGAGATCCTCCTGTACCTGCTTCCCACTCCAGCACTAAGGTAACAGACACATATCACCATGTCTAGTTTTTAAATGAATGCTGTGGACCTAGACTAGGGATCCCTGTGCTATGCAGCAAGCATGATACTAACTGATCATTGCTCTAACCAGGAAACCGGTTCTTAAAGAGAAACTGCCCCAAGATTTGAAATCCTTTCTGCAGATATAACTGACTTGGAAAGAAACATCAAGGATGGCATTTCAAAGTTCACTGGAGTGACAGCTATGGCCACAGCATTCCTCACTTCTTTTCCTCCTCATCGGTATCACTTCCCTACCTAACTTTACTCTTGCAAATGTCTGCTTCTGGCCATGCTCTGACTTCATTTTCCTATACTCTTTAGTCCACATGCTCTCCCTAAACAGCCTTTTAGACAAACACATTAAGGAAAAGAAACACTGCATTTAATTTCTTTCTTCTTATTTATGTATAGTTCGTTCAAAGTACCTTGGAAGTTTGAGAAAAGCTATTCTCCACCCCTGCCCCTCCAAATCATATGAAAACAAATTTAAAAGAAGAAAAAAAAGGGGGAAAAACTAACAGGAAAACAAAGTATGAATGCCTGGAAGTCAACAAGGAGACAAGAGCCTGCTATGAGGGAGGTAAAACCAGGCAGAAGAAAGTCAAAGCAACAGAAAATGTTTTCCTGTCAGAATTTCTTTCTTGCTAACCTACAGCAGGACTAAGTAGTTAACCAAACACATGTCTTCTTTAGAGAAAATGATGTCACCAGCACAACAGTAAGGAGATTTAACAGGTGCAGGAATGTGGGGTGTGAGGAGGAAGCAAAACTTTTGGGGGGGCTTTGTCTATTAAATAATGGTACACTGGACAATCATCAATGCTCACACATACTTCTGTAGCTATTAGACACTTGGTTAAATACAGTAAAAGAAAGCATCCTGGCTGTGCTAGTGGCTCTTACTAAGTGTCTGGCTCTTACTAAGCAGACTTGGGCTTCATTAGTTCCTTATTCCTGAATGAACGTCCAATGCCATCATTTCAGTCAGTGGGACTAAGAGCCCAACAGGAGCAAAGCCCACCTCCTCCTGCTCATGCCATGCATTTCCAACAAAACTTTTAGGAAATTATTTCACACCAAAAAGTGGGAGAAAATGCCAACCATGAGGTAATGCATTACTTCCTGTATTTTCATCTTAGCAAGAGAAACATGAGCACTCCAGGTATTTAAGGACTGGATTCCTGTCTCATGACACAGTTTATAGCCAGTGCAATAAACTCCCTTTCCCTACTGTTAAAGCAAGAGAGAGAGAGAGAGAGAGAGAGAGAGAGAGAGAGAGAGAGAGGAGAAAGGAAAGGAGAAAGAAAGAGGATGTTGTAGGTTTATATCTGTATCTTCCTAGATATAGATGATAAATTATAATTGGGAGATGAAAGAAACAGAGTGTGTAACTGGCCCTTCATTCAACTACCTGAACATTAAAGATGGAAGGAGAAATCAATAATTTCCCAACAGCACTGTTCACGACAAAAATGAGAAAGAGCTTTTTACATGTATAGGAAAAAAAGTAATTCTTCTATTTTTTTTTTTTACAAAAGCATCGTTTATCTTCTTTATATAAAAAACCCTAGTCTCCTTTATAAAGTCTCTTCTTTCTCCACCCTTAAAATTTTAAGTGTGTGTGTGTGTGTGTGTGTGTGTGTGTGTGTGTGTGTGTGTGTGTCCCTAGAAAGACATTATTAACAATGATTTCAACCCATGGTTGACAGCTGCTGACTCTACTATTTGTTATACTCTTTTGATCAAATGAAGGCATATCCTGAACTACTTTTAAAATTTAAAAAGCTATTTGACAATTAAAACATGCTTCTGTAGTTAGTTCAGTAACACAGTCATTATGTCAGAACTCATAGGGTTCTTAAAGAGTACAAGATCCATTTTAAAAGGTTTACTTTTCCTTTAACCTTAAACATAATTATATCATAGAAGAACAAATCCTTAGATCTCATGAGTCAAGACAGTTGGAGCCTTAATGAAATTCTGTTCTCAGTTTCCCCCTGGCACTCAAAAAGAAATATACTAATTGTTTGGAAGAACAAGATGAGCATAGGGATTTTTTGAAAAGGCTATGATCACCAGATGCCATAGCTAAAGTATTCCAAATCTCCTGATATACCTGATAATAACTGGAAACACACAAACACACACACACACACACACACACACACACACACACACACAGAGAGATGTCACATCATTTTTTCAAGAGCCTACTTTCCCTATTCGTGAAACCCTGAGCCACCACTAATTTCTAATTTAGAAAAACATTGAGTATTCCACTGACAAATTCTGTGACAGTGACTGGCGACAGCAGCTAAGAGACAAAAAGTCATTCTACTGTTAGTGAATTCTTATTTCTAACCATACACCCCCTATAGTTTGCTCTTCAAAAATAAAAGGCTTGGGCAGCTAGAGAGATGGCTCAGTGGTTAGAAGTGCTTATTGTTCTTGCAGAGGACCTGAGTTCAATTCCCAACACCCACTTCAGGTAGCTTGTAACTGCCTGTAACTCCAGCTCCAAGGAATCTGACACCCTCTTCTGGACTTTGTGGGCAATGCACTTGTCAGAGTTTGAAAAAGATATCCCCCATAGTTTCAAGTATTTGAATGCTTGGTCCCCAGCTGGTGTCACTGTTTAGAGAGGCTTAGAAGGTAGGTGTGGCCTTGTTAGAGGAAGAATGTCTCTGGCAGTGGGTTTTGGGGAGTTTAAAAACTCATGCCATTTCCATGTCTGTCTGTCTGTCTGTCTGTCTGTCTGTCTGTCTGTCTGTCTGTCTCTCTCTCTCTCTGTGCTTTGTGGTTGTGTGAGCCGCCCTCTTCCTGCTGCAGCTACTATTACTGCTGCTTGCTGCTTTCACTCCATCATCATGAACTCTTACCCTCTGGAACCATAAGTCCAAATAAACTGCTTCTTCCATAAGTTGTCTTGGTTGTGATGTTTTATCTCAGCAACAGAAAGTAACTAATAGAACACTCACATGCATATACCAATATATACAAGTAATTAATTAAAAACAAAATAGATTTTAAAAAAGAAATGGCTTAGGATGCAAATCCCTGAGGGGCTCTAATCATTTCTGTTTTCCTGGCTATAATGTAGAGAACTCAAAGGGACTGTCAGATGGAAACTCTATGAAGAACGTATTACTGTTTGATGGGAAAAGCAGATAGGCTGTGTCTGTGCTTTTTCATGCAGTATAACATTTTTAACATTAAAAAATGCTAGTATAAAGAAGTTGTGCTTATAATCTGACATTATTTAACATATTCTTCACCAACAAATGTAAACATTTAATGAAGAAATAAAAAAGAAACAAAGACACTTGGGAACATAGACTTAAACACTCCACAATTGACAAACAGAAGTCTGTTCCTTAACTACCAAATAGGTGTTGGCTTAAAAATGAACATTGGGAAATGATGTTTTTACTTTTCCTTTGGTTAGAAACAAACAGTATAGCTACAGGGGTGATAAGGAATAAAAATCGAGGTGTAGTTTGTGTTTTCTAATGCACAATATGTAGCCTTCCTTTGGTTAGAAACAAACAGTATACTACAGGGGTGATAAGGAATAAAAATCGAGGTGTAGTTTGTGTTTTCTAATGCACAATATGAAGCCTGGCATCAGTGCCATGTTCAGCTTCATCAAATGCTGCCCAGCTCGCAAGTCTGCATCCATCACAGTGCTCACTCACACTGCTGCACTGGCACCACTGACTTCATCCAGCCTTCTACCTACCCGTACCTTCCACAAGACTTAGTCTGACACCTTTGTACACAGCAGGTGTTCAAAAATGCTTGCTTTATAGAGGGATACTCCCTGAGCCAAGACACACAGGGGTGGGCCTAGGCCCTATCCCAAAGGATACAATAGACTCTGATGACACCCTGTGGAAGGCCTCACCCTCCAAGGGGAGCAGAAAGGATTTGTGATAGGTAGGGCTTTAGGTGGGGGGGGGGGTGGTAGGGGAGGAGGGAAGGGAGAGGGAACTGGGATTGTCATGTAAAACAATCCTGTTTCTAATTCAAATTTAAAAAACATCTGAAAAAAATGCTTGCTTTATTTTTCAAAACGAACTTACCCTTCGAAATGATACAACGTAAAACGTGTCTCCCCGCCTGCGGATGGCTTCGAAGAACCCTTGGTAACTTCCTGGTGAAGCATAATACACTTGCAGCTCATTCCCAGAATTCCTACTGACAAGAGAAGACAGAAAATATCATTAATATTCAAACATGTTCAGTCTGTCCAATTCCTTCCATTCTATGGCCACATCTGAATCTTAAGAATGTCCTTCAGCCAAAATGGTATCATTTTAACAATTTTTTTTTAATTGGGACATATTTATGAGGTGCCATATGTTCTGCTACATTGGACTTATGCAAATAATATGGTTTTACTGCTATTATTGTTTGGGGTGCTGGAAGAGCAAACATAAGGTCTCATACTTGCTGCATTAACCTGCTTGGTTCACACAGAGAGTTAGGAAGGTCTATGACTACAATTCTGCTCCACTCCAGGTAGCCCCTTAATCATGACTGTATCACTTTCCACACTGCTTTCCTTCAAGTTACATTCACCTGGATGAGGACAATTGAACTGCTGGATACTGCACTCTCTTTGGAATCTTCAAAATCTCCTGTAGCACTAAGTAGTAACAAGAGATTTTTTATTTTTAAGTCAAACAGACAGGGTCTGAAGTCTAGTTCTATCTCTTCATGACTTTGAAAAGTATTTAAAAAAAAAAAAACCTTAACTCTCCACCCTTCTCATATGTAAATATAAATTTAAAGATAAGATGTATATAAGCACCCAGCCAGGGTGGACAAGATGGCTCAGAAGGTAAAAGCACCTGTCACACAATCCTAATGACTGAGTTCAATCCACAGAATCCACATAAAAAAAGCTGGATCAAGCCAGGCAGTGGTGATGCGCTCAGGAGGCAGAAGCAGGTGGATCTCACAGCCAGAGCTACTCAGTGAAACCCTGTCTCGAAAATCAAAACAAAAAGCTAAAGAAAGGCCACACTGCAATGCCAGCACTACTATCGAGATATGAGCAGCCAAGACAGAAGAATCACCGGGAAGCTTGTGGGCCAGCTAGCATGGAGTTCACATTATAACAGAAACAAGAGTGACCCTGCATTAACAGGGTGGAAGGAGGGACTAACTCCCCAGAGTTTTTCTCTGACTTTACTTTTCCTCTGACTTCATTACAGACACACACATGCACACATAAATTAATATTTTTTTTAAATGTGATCACTCAACAAGATACCTACAAAAGAGAAAAAAAGGCAATACTTCTCTCCCTGAGGCTTATAAAACAGATAATAATCAAGAACAAGAAAGCACTGCGTACTTAGGATTTTCAGCAAAATTATACTGAAAAACATCTGACTAAATCTGTGTTTTAAGAGACTTGGGAGAGGTGATCTTTTTTTGGGATCACTAACTAGTGGTATATGTTCATTTGAACTGATATAAAAGTTGTAGAGGAGCACAAAAAGGAGGGTTGAATTTCAAAGTCACTAACATACAATACAGTTCAAGATCTGCAGCCACGAGCTTCCACACCTTCTTACCTGATGCTAGTAGTCTCTGTGTACTGGACAGCCATCAGCTGAGAATTTGAGCCCTGCTCCAGAGCACCCTGGAAGACAGAAGGAGATTTAGGAAATAGCACAAAAGACTTCCCAAAATGACTCATACTTGGATTTGTTGTCTAGAATCTTTCAGGTCACATTGTAGGCTAAGAGTGTATCTGACACAGTCTTATTAAGTGATATTTCAAGCACTTTCCACAAAGTTTCCAGAAAGAATGAGAGCATCCAGTCCAGCCACTCTGAGTTCATGACCAAGCTGTACAAGTATTACTGGGCACGTAACAACTTTCATTTGTCAAAATTTATGTTACAAATTCCTAAGAAATAGGAAAGGTAGAGCCTGGAAAGATGGCTCATAGGTTAAGAGCACTAGCTGCTCTTCCAAAGGTCCTGAGTTCAATTTCCAACAACCACATGGTGGCTCATAACCATCTAGAATGAGGTCTGGTGCCCTCTTCTGGCATGCAGCTGTATATGCTGGCAGAACACTGTATATGTAATAAAAATAAATAAATAAATGTTTATAAAAGAAACAGGAAAGGCTCAAAATGAAACAAAATTTCCACTATTCACCAAGTTACACACAAATTCCTCACAACCTATTGGCTGTATCTTATGAAAGGCATCTAACCCACGACTCTCTTGGCCAGAGAACAAACAATTCAGTGTCCAACATGATACACTAGAAACTTCTATTTCACACGGCATTTGCTCTGTCCTCTGTCTTCTTAAATTTCCTGGGAGTTTTGTAAGCTAACCTTTCGAACAATCTTGTAAGGGTATCAGAATTCAATGGTATATTACTATTATTACATTACAAAGTGACCTTATTGTTACTTCACAAGAATAAGTATTTTTGATATATAATAGTTTAATCATAATTCTCTTGAAATTTATTATTATTGTGTTTACCCATCTTTACATGAAGTAGGGCTCCAAAATTAGGTATCTGATTTCCTTTAAGAGGCTCAGGGTATGACCGGGGGTAAAAGTTCTATAAACAATAAATGTTTAAGGGAGGAATAAGGAGATTAAGTTTCTTTGGTAAACAGAACCAATGTGCAAGAATGACTTTGAGGTTTCCACTTTCGGGATCCACACCAAGGACCTTATTTGATAATTGCTAATGATTAGCATATAGATCCATGCATAAATAAATGCATGTTAGTCAGTTTAGTAGGCCTCTCAGTCCTCAGATCAACTGTCATGCTATAGTATTGGTATAAAGATAACCTAACTTCACTGAATAATGGCCTCAAGCCCAAGAGTAATGATGCTGGAGATTTTACTACAGGTTATCGTTATAAATGCTCTATTACTGCTGTTAGTCTCTTACTGTACTTAACTTAGAAATTAACCTTTATCATAGCTATGCATGGATAGGGAAAAACAATATACATAGGGTCCACTACTGTCCATGTGACATCATCACAGTCTACCTTGGAATAATAGTTGGACAGTATAAAAACTTTGCTATAGTCTCAGCATGCAGACAGCAGAGACAGGTCAATCTCTGTGAGCTCAAGACCAGCATGGTCCATATAGTAAGTGCTAGACTAGTCAAGGATACCTGGTGAGACCCTGTCTCAAACAAACAACCTAGCTATATAATTCTACTTGACCGTACCTTTTAATTTTTTTAAGCTGTTTTTATTCTTGCTTTAAAAATACAGGTTACTGAGAGATGTGTGTATTGGGGGGTATGGGTGTGTTGGGGGGTATGGGTGTGTTGGGGGTATGGAATACACAAGACTTTATTTTCTTATGGTCTTAAGTCAGCACTACCGTTAACCTGTAATGAACATGTCTAAGTTCAAAAGTGCCTCCATGGTATGTTCTTCCCTACAATGTGCCATGCGTTTTAAACACCCTCTCTGAAAAGCTCTAAGAAGCAGTGGGGGAGGGGTGGGGGATAAACATTATTATTTATTATACTGCCTATGCTGAGAGTGAGGCGGGGGGAGGGGAGCAGAGAGAAGGAGGGAGGGAGAGGGGAGAGAGCAGGAGGAAGCAGCACTGTGCCTGACCAGGAAACACTGCTGCTGTAAGACCTGAACTAAGAGCTACAAAAGCTGGAGAGCACTTTCAGTGGCAATGCCTGCTGCATCAGAAGCAGCCACAATGAGAAAGAAAAGCAGTTTAAGTTTCCAAATCTCCCTGCGAAGAAAGCAACTCCATTGGGAGAAGGCCCCCAGCAACTGTGCTGTCGTTCTTCAAACACAGGCAGAACAAACCTGAAGAATGCGTGTTTTCTGTTGGTTATTTATCATTCTTCTTGATTTGGTCCTTTCCACTTCATGTCTATGAACCCAGCCTCGAAGTTCATGGTTCAACCTGTAAGTCAGATTAATCAAATTTATTTAATAGAAGTTAACTGTTTACTCTTTTGTTGGAAATTAATCGTTCTATAAGACCCAAAGAGCAGCCAACATACCTGACTACTGGACAATGTTTTTTGATTTGAAAAAAAAAAAGCTAAGACATTTAATATTGTTTTTAATAAGACATGAATTGTTATAAAGCAACCTCCTCAATTATGAATTCAGAACTCAAAAAAAATAAGGGAAGGTATGTCCAGACCAACATAGTCCAATATTACATTCTTACTTTGGGGGAAAAAAAAAGAAAAGGATTCTGTGTGTTGAGAATATTATGTCCACAAGTTTAGCCTTGTTCTGACTTTAACATTCAGTTCATCCTTTAGTTTTCAAATGAGACACACAAAGACAGGCAATCAGCACATTGCACAGATCACCATCTCTGCCAGGCTGATAAATAAACCAAACAACTGACAGGCCTACAGTGATCTAACAAGTAATTCAGATTCTCTTGGTGTCTTATTAACCTGAGGAAATGCTTTTCTAAGTTCTGAAGCCACAATGGGAGGCCATGCAGGTGTTTCTGCAATAACCCACAAACTCACCTGAGAGATTCTGTTGTATTAATCAGGGGCTGACATGGAGGTGGAGGAATATAAAGTAGTGGTTCTTCAGTTAGCACCATTAAGGCTTTGTCATTTGAAACAGAATGATCATATCTGAAACATACATAAAAAATTGTTTCCTTGAATCATATTTTTTTTTTTTTTTTTGGTTTCTCAAGACAGGATTTTTCTGTGTAGCTTTGGAGCCTGTCCTGGAACAAGCTCTTATAGACCAGGCTGGTCTCGAACTCACAGAGATCAGCCTGCCTCTGCCTCCTGAGTGGTGGGATTAGAGACGTGAACCACCACCACCTGGCACATCATAAATTTTATAAAGCTCCCTAGTATTCATTTTTCATTAAAATAAACATATAACAAATTGAACATACTGTGAGATAGAAATGAACATGCTGGAAAGAATAAAATATAAACTAGACAGCAGAACTGTCATTTTCTGAGTTTCTAAGACATGACGGAGTAATTCACATTTGCTTAGGTGTATTTAATGGGCAGCACACAGTCTGTGTCTTCAGTGAATTCAATGAACTACAGTGCTGCTGGAGTAGAGGAGGTAACACAGTGATGAGATTAAGGGAAAGAGCTACCAGTTGACAGGAAAAACATTATTGCAAGACAAGGCTTAAAGATTTGTGGTCATTTGCCATTCTGTGACAACAAAACCAAACAGTCTCCCTAAAACAAGTTTGTGTGAAATTCGGTAGAATAAGACATATTATTTGGCAGGAGAAAAGTGACAAAGTTGAAAAACTGAATAAAAATTTTAAAGTTGTGGATGACTGTGAGTCACTACTAAACATTAAATGGCAATAACTAGTTATTCTATTAACTTGAAAAGTATACTTTTGTAACTATCATACTACTGTGTATCACACGAATTCATACCAAGAGAATGATAAGAAACAAAACCAGAGCCAAAAATTAGAATCTGAACCAGAACTATTATTGTCAGTTATTTCTTTCAGTCTGTTATTTAGGCTATCTCACTAAGAAGTCTTAGATTTGCTCTGAAGTTTTTTATATAAGATGCTCTGAGTTTATAATTAGATATTGAAAATACAAAAAATGGACATACAAGATTAAACATGGTAAGATTCATGCTTTTCATTTATTTATTCAATTTTTACTAGATACTGCAGATGTGCTGGGTAATCCAAGAGAGAGCAAGAGAAGTCTCTATACTCAAAGACCTAACAGGGAAGACAGATCAAACACAAGAAAACAAATACATAAAACTCAGCAAAACTGTGCTAAGTATTGTAAAAGAAACTCAGGCCTCAAATAACAAAGCTCGGCAGTATCTACTTCAGATAAATACTCTAAGGCAGAGATGGTATAAAGTCAAGGCCTCAGTGACAAGAAGGAACCAGCTGCATAGAAACATTGGGAAACACATACTGGACAGAAGCAAGTGAGAAAAATGCTGATTCAAGATGACTGCTGCAGAGTTGTGTGCAAGTGGGCAGACATAAGAGGAGGCTGCAAGGAGGCCAAGTCATAATTAGGACTTGCTGAATAAAAGAGAAGTCACAAAGTAGGGAAGTGACATACCTCAATTTACCCTTGCATCTTGAAATTGTACCAAAAATGAACATTAGTTAAATAAGGAAAGGGACAAAGATCTATTGTGCACATTAAGTTTAAAAAGCTAAAAGAAAAAGTCAAAGAGACAACTGGATTGTGAGCATGTGTATGAGAAGTCTGACCTGGAAACAGGAGTGTGAAAGTCAATCACACACACAGACATGGAGAGAGAGTCAATCACACACACAGACATGGAGGGAGAGTCAATCACACACAGACATGGTGGGAGAGTCAATCACACACAGACATGGAGTCTGCAGTACAAATGAGTCACTTTAGCATAAAGAAAACCAAGTTCAAACTTTAAAGCTTGGGATTTGCACAAAGAAGAAGCCTACAAAGAAAATCAGAAAGGAAGCAAGAAAGACTGAGGGAGTGAGCATGACAGTCTTGTACAAGGGAGAAGAAGGCAGGAGGCTCACAAGTTCAAAGCCAGCCTGTGCTACAAAGCAAGAATTTGTCTCAGTTAACCAGGGCTGGGGAAAATCTTAGTGGTAGAGTATTTCCCTATACAAGGCCCTGCACTGAATCCCTAACACCACACAAGACTATAAAGCAGCAGCCAGTAAAAAACAAACAAAAAGATTAAAATAACAATGAAAAAGGAAAGCCCTTTAAGGACTGATTCATTTAGCCAAATGTTGAAGAAAGTACAAGATGAGCACATGGTGACCATTAAATTTGAACACATACCCGCCCCCAACACATACACCTAGCAAGTGGAAAACTAATTTCAGAAAAAAGCAATGATTTCTGAGTTTGGCACACATGGAGGGAAAAGAAGTGAAAGCTGAAGTTACATGAAACATTCCCCCTCTACTGGTTGCACTTAGGCTCCTCATGTCCTCTCTTCCGGCAATTAAGAGTTACAAAGGTAAAATGTCTGGAATAAAACAAATACACAGGTACTGACGGCACACAGGAAAAGATATCAGCCTAGAACTGAGTTAACAGTGCCTGTAAATGCAACACCATTCTGAATGTAATTAAGTCACTGCTGCAACAAGAGCAGAGGCTTTCACACACCCACACACCTGTCACATGTGCCATTTGAAAATCACACAGTTATACTTAACAGAAGACTGGAACTCTGTAGTCACATTAGCAAAATCCAAAATTGCTTTCAAAACTATAGTTTGACTGTAATTTTCCTTCCATATGATAAACTCTAGTAATGATTTCTGCACATCTTGCTGGCTATCTTTGTTCTAACAGACAAAAATATAGAGAAGAAAATTCTTTGATTAAAAAAATCTGATAGAAGAAATATAAAGGTAGTTTGGATAGTGTTAAGGAGGAAAGGAAGGGGAGAATCTAAGCCAGCGTGCAATCTGGAGATAATCAGACCTTCTCTAACCCAAAGACAGTCAGAGTTCTGGGCTGTTTACAATCCATTCTGTACAAACAGAAGAAATTTCAGCAAATAAATCACTAAAAGAAAGTGCAATGCTAAGGAGCTAGAGTTAATGAGAACCCTTGGACTAAAGACAAGTTGTGGCTGATGCTTCAAGTGGAAAGCATCCTTTCCTGTTTACTAGAAGACAACTGCCACTTAAGCTTGATGGTCTACGTCCTGGAGGTAATCATTATTACTAACTTCTTCTAAATTACCAATATTCTTTCTTAAAAGTATCCCACCCAGTTTGGCTGATAAATTGCACTGTTACAAATACAGATTATACACACACACACACACACACACACACACACACACACACACACACACACTCTCTTCTAACATTGAAAAAGAATCTATGCAACTACAATTTGCTAATGGTAATGTGCTAATGACAAACAAATAGAACATTTATTTAAACAATACGATATCCTTCATTTGAACCATAAGTCTCCTATACTGAAACAAAAATGAGGCATTTAAAAATCATACTGTTTATGATATAGAAAAACTTGAACAGGTCAATAATAAGTAAGAAGACCAAATAGCTAGCATAGCAACTTAATGAGACTGTTTCCAAAAAAATGAAGGAGGAGGAGGAGGAGGAGGAGAAAGAGGAAGAAGAAGAGGAGGAGGAGGAGGAGGAGGAGGAGGGGGGGGAGGAGGAAGAGAAGCTAAAATAAATTTGTCTCAAACTAGTCCAAAGAACTGAAAAAAAGGAAACTCTTCCAAAGTTGTTCTATCCTGACATCAAGGCCCCACAAAAAAACATTCAAAAAAGGAATCCACAGACCAAAATCCCTGATGATCATAGTAGCTATTAAAATTCTCAACAAAGTACCAGCAACTCAAATCCAACATATCAAAAAAGTAATACATCATAATTTATTACAAAAATGCAAGGATGGCTCAACATGCACAAATAAAAAATATAACATACTATATTAACAGAATGGAAAACAAAAACTTTGTGACTGTCTCAAAAGATGAAGAAAAGGCATTTAGTAAAACTCAACATCTTCATTGTTTGATGTTTTGGTGGGAAGCTTCTTGAGTTCATTGTATATTTTGGAAATCAGCCCTCTGTCAAATGAACGGTTGGTGAAGATCTTTTCCCATTCTGTGGGCTGTTGATTTGTCTTACTGACTATGTCCTTTGCCTTACAGAAGCTTCTCAGTTTCAGGAGGTCCCATTTATTAATTGCAGATCTCAATGTCTGTGCTACTGGTATAATGTTTAGGAAACGGTCTCCTGTGCCTATTCGTTCAAGGGTATCTCCCACTTTGTCTTCTAGAAGATTCAGTGTGGCTGGATTTATGTTGAGATCTTTGATCCATTTGCACTTAAGTTTTGTGCATGGTGACAGAGATGGATCTATCTTCAATCTTCTGCATGTCCAAATCCAGTTGTGCCAGCACCATTTGTTGAAGATGCTATGTTTTTTCCATTGTATAGATTTAGCATCTTTGTCAAAAGTCAGGTGTTTGTAGGTGTGTGGGTTAATATCAGGGTTTTCAATTCAATTCCATTGATATATCTGTCTATTTTTGTGCCAATACCAAGCTGTTTTCAGAACTATGGCTCTATAATAGAGCTTGAAGTCAGGGATGGTGATGCTCCAGAAGACCCTTTATTGTACAGAATTATTTTGGCTATCCTGGGTCTTTTGTTTTTCCATAGATTGTTCTTTCAAGGTCTGTGAAGAACTGTGTTAGGATTTTGATGGGGATTGCGCTGAATCTGTAGATTACTTTTAGCAAGATTGCCGTTTTTACTATGTTGATTCTACCTATCCAAGAGCATGGGAGATCTTTCCATTTTCTGGTATCTTCTTTAACTTCTTTCTTTAAAGACTCAAAGTTCT